GGGGGGGGGGGGGGGGGGGGGGGGGGGGGGGGGGGGGGGGGAGTACGCATGCCGTAGTCGTGAGACCATTGGCCCTTGCATTCATCCCTAAAATGCCGGGACAGAGCACACCGGGTTTTCAACGGACCAGGCTTTAATGGCACATCACCAAGCGATGGGGGGGGGGGGGTAGTGTACTGACCGTGCTCATGAGCAGCCGTCGCGAATATTGATGGTTTGCTTGTGTGTTCTCGTCGGCGAGCGCGACCGTAGCGTGCTGCTTGGACGTTCGTCTCATCTCTGAGAGAGACGACGACGAGGTGCGGAGTATTCGCCGGCCCTGCAGAAAGAAAGAAGCCTTTAACACAGGAGCGAAGTATCGTGAGGCTCCCCGCGAGCCACGGTGTAAGGGTGAAACTTCAGTCGCGTGTCTTGGCATGCATAGCCACGGAGTCTTTGACCGATGGCGCTCGCGCTCGGTCTTTCTTGACGTGTGCTGGTGAACGCATGCTCCCCTGGTGCCAATGCACATTGGTGGGTGTACGTTTTCAGGAACCGTCGAACCAAAAACCAGCCACGTTATTCTCATTTTCACCATCCCTTTTGGGTGCATTCCGTTGTTGGCTCGAATACACAGCCGAAGCAGTGAGCCTGGGGACGCCACTCCAACGCCCCCCCTCCCATCCATTACCCACAATTTCGTCCTTCCACGACGGACTATCCCTCGGCTATGGGCTGCTAATTCTGCTTCCAGGTTATGTTTCGGGAGCATCGCGAGTCGGGCACCAATTCCTTTCGAGAGCTACCGGGAAACATGCTTAGCACGGAGTTGCACGTCTACCGCAAATCGTTAGGGGCCGCCGGGGGGGCGAAGAAGGGCTTGGACAGGGAGGAAGGCAGCGGGGGTGGGGGTGTCGGCGGGGCGGCGGCGGCGGGGCATCTGAGTGGGCGAGGGGGCGTGAAAAGGCAGAAGGAGGTCCCTCATTCGTTCGCGCTGTTGACCTCGATGGGGATCTACCACGGCAGTCTTGCCTTGGGGAACGATGTGAGGGTGGCAGGGAGGGGTGCAGTCATGTGGTGTTGGGGGATACGCGGATGGTACACCCCGGCGGGTGTGGAGAGAGACTTGGAAGCGTCTTAGAAAAAGAGGGTTTGAGACGGTTTGCACACAGCCCACGGTTTGGTGCAGGCTTGTGTTTTTCAAGTTTCTCGTGTTTCGACGAAGGCGAGCCCTCAAAGTCTTTAAGCTACCAAGTGGCCGTGAGCAGCGGTGTGCGCTACACACTGTGTTTTCACGGTAGTCTACATGGTTCTACAGCAGTAGTATATGTTGCGAGGATCTGGCCATTCAGGTTTCTGAGCTGCAGGCAGGTCTGGCGGGCACTGTTGTTTTGGTGATGCCGGCGGGCGGCGGGGCGGCATCGACAGTGGTTTCGTGTATTGCGTCTGCGCGTCAAGGAATAGTCGACGCTCTACAAGGCTGTCACTTTCACGCGGCGGCCGAACGTGTTTCTTCTCTTTTTTGCCTCGGTACTGTGTACGGAGTGCTACCGTTTTGAGAGAGCGTGTGCTTGACTGTGTTTTGTGCCCACTCGCATCCAGGCGCTGACTTGTCAATTGCTCCGTGCTGGTGTTACCTACCTCCGCTCCACCTAACCCGCCATCATCTTTTATTCGGGGTTCCGCTGTCGTTGGACAGGCCACGCCAGGCAACGTCATCTCCGAAGCGCAGCTCGTGCCGTATCCGGAGGCGGCGGAGGCGGGAGACAGCGGCGGCGGCGGCGGAGGGGGGACCATTGCGAGGTCATCATCCCCGCTCTCGATGGCGATGACGGAGTTCCACTTCCTGCTGCTGTTCACCGGCCGCTTGCAGGTGGTCAGCAGGCTCAACGGTGCTGTCGTTCAGGTGAATAAAATAAGCGCAGATAGATGGGTAGCTTTCGACACGCAGGGTAATCGTTTTTGGTGCGTGTGTAGCCTTGCCATCGTATTTCTACCGTTGTTTGTTGTTCTAAAGTCGTGGCAATGGACAGGTTGTCTCGTGCTCTGCCGGACGCTGGTGTTTATGTTTGGCATCGACATGCGGGTTATATTCGTTTTAGGGGGAGGTGTCGCCTTTCCGGATGTGATTGTTGTACTGAAGGAGTGTCATTGGTCAGGTTGGGGTAAAGAAATAGTGGTGCTCGTGCGGACGCTGGTACTTACGTTTGGCGTCGTTCTTGACTACCGACTCACGCTCCGTTTTTGGTCGTCATGTGGCTGTCTCTCTTGGTGTCTTCTCGCATGTCCCCTTACGTCCAATGTGGGCATGTCTCGCCCCCTCTCCAAATCCTTCCTTCACCTGGCGTAGCCCTTACATTGCCTCCCTTGTGGAACGAAACATCGACTTCCCCGTCCACTCTCTTGACCCCCCTCCCCCCAACGCCCACTCTGCGTGGCCTCTCTCTCACTGAACCCCCCCCCCCC